GAGCCCTGGCCCAGGCTGCCCAGGGGGGCTGTGGAGTCTCCTTCTCTGGAGATATTCAACCCCCGCCTGGACGCTGTCCTGTGCCCCCTGCTCTGGGTGAGCCTGCTTGGGCGGGGGGGGGACGCTGGGTCAGCTCCCAAGGTCCCTTCCCACCCTTGACATTCTGCGATTCTGTGATAAACCCAGCTACGCCTCGGCTCGGCGATTCTCGGTATTGGCCCCGTGTGCCCGGCGCTGTGGGAAGCCTCCGGGCACGGCAGCGTACAGCGCGGCTGCCGGGGAGCCACACAGGCGAGCAAACGGGAGAAACATGTGCAGGTGGGGAATGCTTTTTAAAAGCACTGACAGAACAACGCACAAAAACTGCCCTGAGTGCCTTTGTTTTAGGGGGGAAAAAAAGCAGAGAGATGAGTGTTCTAAAAGTCATTAAATGCTGTAATGCTCAGCACAGGGTCAAGACAGGAAAGAAGTGGGAATAAGCAAGGAGGTGCAGAACACCCTTATTTTCTCCTCAAACAGAATAAGTACAGTCCTACTCTACTCTGAAATGACTTTTTTTCCAAGCCCACCGTGGCATCTGTGTGTTTTTAAGTGGAAGACAGACCTTTTCTGGTTCATGGGCTGCTCTGCCTCGCTCTGCTCCAGAACAGCTCCTCCTGAGCCGTCAGCCCTCAGCACCTCCGCAGCGCTGGCAGGAGAGCTGGACACAGAGGAAGAGAAAGAAGACAACCTGAAGCCACCTGGACGCACAGCCTTCCGAGCGCGACCACTGCCCTACGGAACCACTTTTTCCCAGATAGCAAACACTTCCTACTGCTAGAACTGGACTTAAAGGAACCAAAGGAATTCAAACTGCAAAACCTGCTCTATCTGTGTGTTGATGCTTTCTCCCCAGCAAGAAGCGCCCCTGTCCCCCTCTTTTGTGTTCAGTTTTGGGCCCCTCACTACAAGAAAGATGTTGCATTGCTGGAACACGTCCAGAGGAGAGCAACCAAGCTGGGGAGGGGTCTGGAGCACAAGGCTTACGAGGAGCGGCTGAAGGAACTGGGGTTTTTTAGTCTGGAGAAGAGGAGGCTGAGGGGGGACCTGATCGCCCTCTACAACTGCCTGAGAGGAGGGGGGAGCCTGGGGGGGTCGGGCTCTTCTCCCTGCTAACAGATGATAGGACGAGGGGGAATGGTTTGAAGTTGCACCAGGGCAGGTTTAGGTTGGACATTAGGAAAAACTTCTTCACTGAAAGGGCTGTCAGGCTCTGGAATGGGGTGCCCAGGGAGGTGGTCGAGTCCCCATCCCTGGAGGTATTTAAAAGAAGG